GTTAGTAGGCAAACTGACTTAAGGTGGTGATAATATCAAACTGTTGTGAGCAGAACTATGGCAACACTGTTATCCATAACCTGAGATGCTTTGTACCTATCTAGGATTTTCTCTTATAGCAAGGACTCCTCCATTCTTCTCGTAAATGGTGACCTCTCTTAATTGGGCCTGCCATGACATACCTTGGCCTTCCCTGTGGAAATTCTTTCCCTTTCCCCCCAAGCCCCTTCTGCTGACCTGTTCTAGTGGGGTGCTGATTAAAAAGAAAAAAAGAAAACCCTGGTTTGTGGCATTTGCCAATTTGGGAGTGTTGTAAATACTCCCCTAATGGTTGATTCCAAGCTATCAAGGCCACATCACTGAACGCAGAGTAGGCAAGAAATGTGTACTGGGAAGACATGCAGGACACACCATTATATAGAATTTCTATGTGGATACGATAGAGGTAAACCCTAAGAGCATTGATAATGGTAAAATGTGGTAAATAATTAAAAAGTGATGGATTTCATTACATTTGTTTTAATATAGTTTACTTAATTATACGCTTGTATCATTTAATTTTTAATAAAGGCTGTGTTTAACAACTGGCTTGTAGAATTCCTGAAAATTTAAGCCAGCACTCATGAGCCTGTACAAGCCAGTTCTAGTATCCCACTGCAATCACTTTGCTGCTGACTGGGCCTATCTTCAAAAGCCTATGGCAGACACTGTCTTACTAAGACATCGGTGCTATCCCTTCTTTCACCCTTCTTCCTTCAGAACTTCCTAACTACCTCATGCCCCTAATCCCTCTCTACCATCTTTCCTGTCTGCAAGGCCCTGACCCTTCCATTCACCCCCACACCGTAATTCACTTCTTCCCACCCCTTCCCCATGCCATCTTTTCCTTAGGTCACTTTCCCTAGTTAAAGGAAAACCTCGGACCACTAATATCTTGGGGCATGGACAGTCTCTCAGCAAGATGCTGAGTCTCATGTGGAGAAGAAATCTTTGATCTTGAAAACGAAGATACATTTTTAGAATCCCAGGTTAAAAATCTAAGTGAAAAAATGATTTTTACTTAATAATTACATAGAGATGATTACAGGGCTGTTAATGCAGTATGTATCTATATAAATGGGTTCAGGATGGGGAAAACTGAGACTATGTCTACCATTCAAAAACCTTTTTTAAGATAACACTTTTATAAAAACCTGTTTATATTGGCAAATAGGCAATTGATTGTCGACATTTTGGATCATAATGCATTTATATTTTGGGGATTACCAATACTTATGAAATGGAGCCTAATAAAGATTGTCTTTTCCATTAGCTCTTGTGTCATCTGTCAGCAAAACTAATTAGGGCCCTGAAAAATTTGTCAGGTTCAAGGATCTGTTCTCACTAATGAAGAAACATGAAAAATATCTTTGTTAAGGATAACACTCTGTTTTTTGAGTTCAAATTATTGGAGGAGTAGTGATGTAGATGCGTACTCTTCCTGGGGTTGGGGCAAACTAAAATTATAATTGAGAATGTTTTGAAAATTGCCTTTGTTAATAAGTTCATCTGTTGTGGTTAGAAACGTGGACAGACTTTTTAACTATTTAGCCAGCCTGATTTATCTGTTCATTCTGAGGGGCTGATCCTTCCCACGAACAGCAGAGTAATTTACCAGGGTATCCTGCACGGATGGTAGGATTAAAGCAACCACCTCAACAGAAGTTGTTACCTAGATCTCTTTTTAATTTTTATTTTTTTAACACTATGCCACTTGTGTAATATTTCAAGGCCATTTTAAGTAGTAGTAGGTACTGGGTACTACAGTAAAATAGGAGTCATGTGGCTGAAATGCAGAGTTTGTTGTTTGCTCTCAGTGACTTTATTGGTGTGCAGAGAATACTCCTTCAAGGAAAAACAGGTACCTTAATTCTAGGTGCTTTTGAAATCTAAATTTCAAGTGGCTTTGAAGTGAATGAGGCTTCTATATTCCCTTCTTCTGAATATTTTGAGCATAACATAGTGTGACTTAACATTTTTAAAAAACTATTAGAGGTATGAAAGCAATTTAAAACTTACTTGTTTTTGCCTTGGGAATGAAAAAAGGAGTTGATATTGAAACCTTTGTTAAAATGATTTCATCTTCTTGTTAGCCATCTCTCCTGTCCCCAGACAAAGGAAGGCCCCAGACATCACTCATGTCTTGGGGCATGGAAAGTCCCCCAGCAAGATGTGAGGTCTTACGTAGAGAGAAAATCCTTGATCTCGAAAAGGACGATTTTTCTTAGAATTCCAGGTTAGAAATCAGAGTGATTCCTGTAAAGGTCCAGGTAGTAAATCATTTAAGCTGTGGGCCATAAGGTCTCTGTTGTAATCAGTCCAACTGCTGTGGCTCATTGTAGTGCAAAAGTAGCCATGGACAATGTGTAAATGAATGGGCAGGGCTGGGTTCCAATAGAACTTTTATTATTTATGGACATGAGATTTGAATTTCATATATTTAATAATTTTCACTTTAAAAGACCTTCTTTTGATTTTTTTTTTCCCTTGACCATTAAAAAAATGTAAAAACCTTTTTCCAGCTTGTGAGCCATACAAAGATAAGTGAGTGGGGTGGTTGGGGGGTGGGACTGGGTTTGGTCTATGGGTCATAGTTTGCCAACTTGGAAGAAACTTTTGCACTTTCATTTGTACTTTTTTCAGGTTATAATGGCATTTTAATACCTGAAGAAATTGATTCTTCTCATATGTGCTGCAGACATCTTAACTGGTTGCATCATGCCAAAGGATATTAAATATTTTCCAGCCTAAGCTTTTCAAAAATGTTTCCAAGAAAGGTCTGACATGCAAGGTGAAAGTGTAATTCTGAGTAGTGACTGAAGATGGTGATAATTCTCTTTTACCAACTGTGATATTCTTTGTGTTAGGGCGCTTTGGAGCTCTCACGTTCAAAAAAAAAAGTTGTCATATTAATAACTAACTTTTTGACAAAGTAAGTTACAGCTTGATGGAGATAATAGTTCATTCTGACTTCCTATAATGTTGTATTCAACCAGTTTCAGCACCTACCGTGTACAGGGTGTTGCACAAGGCACTAAGATCAAATAAGAGACAGACTCAGGGCTTTGGGAAATACTTTGAGTTGTTTCCAGAATCTACCTACTGGAGCGTTTCTGTTAGGAGCCGTGGTTCCTAAGTTTGACTTTATGATTTTTGCTTTTCAGTGGTTAGTGAAAAACTATCTTCTGCTCAATTATGCTGCTGTGCTTATTAATAAGTTATGGCCACAGGGTGGCATGGTTCTCTTATGGTCTTTAATTGTTGCTAAAATGGAACAGAAACAAATGCTATAAGTAATGAAAATTCACTTGCCTAATTATAATGCTGAAATGGCCTGGCTTTCTGTAAATTGATTTTTCCATAGTGCATTATTAAGATTTGCATAATATTAAGTTTCAGTGCTTTAACCCTTGATGCTTTAAAATCTTTTGTTATGGTTACAACACAGATTATATAGTGTTTATAATTGGGAGAATGGTAATTAGGGCTGTATTTTATAGGACATATTTAAGTTAGCCTTGATTTAAAAAAATCAATGTATAACAATTGCTAAAGAATATTTGCAACTAAAAGACAAAAATGTCTTACCTTCTAGATAGTTGCAAAGTCATGGACAAAATTATTGGCGTAAGATTTTTGTCGGATTCCAAGGGCTTAATGTAGCGCTGGATAAAGAAAAGCAGAGATGCCAGATGCTCAGGAAACACAAATTGTTAGAAAAACAACTCTCCCATTGTAATAGATTAAGAATATTACCATAGACTGAGAGCTGAACATGTTCCATGAGTTTTCATACATACTTGTGTGTTGTTTGACCATGGAGATATGTTCTGAGAAATGAGTCATTAGGCTATCTCATTGTTCTGTGAACATCACAAACATAGATGGTATAGCCTACCATGTAGCTAGGCTATATGGTATAGTATATTGCTTCTAGGCTACAAACCTGTACAGCATGTTACTTTACTAAATACTGTAGGCAGTTATAACACAATGGTGAGTATTTGTGTATCTAAATATAGAAAAGGTACAGTAAAAATATGACATTATATAATCTTGTGGGACCACTGTTGGGACACTGTTGTATATGCAGTCCTTCGTTAACTGAAAACGTCATACAGCATGTGATTGTATTGGCTTAGGGGCCTTGAGAATCTCCATTCCTTTGTCTTCCAGAAATTCCATTATTTCTAGGAAACAACTCAGAAAGGTCATCAAGCCCTGTTGGCCTGCGAATCTATAACATGAGAGGGAGAGGATTATAAAAACATATAGGGGTCATTGAAATTCGTTCATAGAGCTGGTTATAGTATCATCTTCATTTATACAGGCAAGGAAACTGAGGTTTAATGGATCTAAGTAAAGTCCTTGCAAGTGGGATTTAAATCCAGATTTGTCTGGAGCCCAAGCTCATGCCCTTCACACTCTCCTATTTCCAGGCAAGTCTGTTAGAGTCTCTCCACCATTATGGGAGAAGGAGTGGACTTGACAGTGATTTGTGGAGTGTAGAATTGAGAGAATTATTGCTGCAACCATAATACAGGAGTTAAGGGCATTCTGAGTATGAGGATGTAACTATTTATTATGCCCCTTCCATCCTCTGCCTTATTTGTGAATTTTCTTGTATCCTCCCCCCCTTTTTTTTCTTTCTGCATATTCATCAAGTAAATACACAAACTGTTATTTGGTTAGTGTACTTGTTTGCCTAGTCACCTCTACTAAAATATAAGTTTAAAGAAGACAAAGATCTTATTTTCAGGTTCATTCTGTATTCTCAATGCCTAGAATATTGCCTGGCACATAAATGCTCAGTCAGTATTTATACTTGTTTAAAACTACTAGAAAGGGGGCACAGAATTGATGATATATTTGATTTTCACTTACATATGATGTTTTATAAAAATAGGCTCCCAAGGGGAACCTTTACTGATGCAAACTTGCTATATCGTTTGCTTTCCCAGGGTGATTGTGTTGTTACAGTACTGCTTGCTGAAGAGGACAAAGTTGAAGATGATGTAGTTTTTTACTTGGTATTTTCGGGTTCCACCCTCCATCACTGTACAAGTACTCGGAAGGTCAGTTCTGATACGTTGGAGACCATTGCTCCTGGTAAGTATTACAATGGGATCTTTACTAGCCTTTAGTAGTCCTTAAACACTTTTATTCTATATTCCTCAGTATAGAGTGATAAGAAGAGTGAATCAGGGTGCTATAACCGCAAACTTGATTCTGAATTTCCTGGCGGCAAAACCAAAAGGTGTAAAACACAGTTAGTAACACATTCCTCAGTATCTATGATAGAAAAGCTCACAAAGCTTTCTTTCATAAAGCCCAATTTGCCCGAAGTTAACAAATTATAGTTGATGATGGAGTGAATGCTGAATCACTATTGCATTTATAAGTTTAATAGAATCAAAAGAAAAATATTTATTTATTAAAAATTCTCATAAAGTCATTAAGTCATTGCTACTTCAACCAGAAATAGCTGATGAGTAATGATTATCTCTTGGCCTGTCCGAGCATCTTAAGGTGTATTGATTTGTGTTTGGAGATGAGCTTCTTTCCTTAATTGACCTTGCTTCAAAGTTAACAATTGACCAATTTCATCAGAATTGAAGAGGGCATATTTAGAGGGAATGAGGGAATCCATAAAAATTTTGACAGTTTAACTATTTTCCTTTAGAGAATAAAATGGATATAGTTTTATTGAAACTTTTTTTAAACCAACATTTTTATATAGCACTGATTCCACTTTGTTGGTACAGGTGGTATAGAAATTATTAGTTTATGAAGCAATTTGAATATCTGGTCTTGCTGGTGTTGGATCGGACTGCCAATTTTTATTGCCCTGCCATTTTATATATAGTAACTTTATTTCTGATACAAAATGATTTTGAAAATTATAGGATTTAAAGATTCTGGATAGTCTCTAGGAATATTCTCCCCAAATTTTTAGGGATAGGAAATATAAGAAGGCAATCAGCATAGATACTGATTTCTTTTCTAAAGAATATTAGGTATACTTCCTTGTAACTGAAAGCTACTGTCATCTTGTTTCCTGCGGTGATGTCATATCAGAAAGGCTTATCTGGAACTTGAGATCTGCTTTGTAGCGGGTGCCATCCAGTGTCACTATTGCTGAACATTTCTTACGGGTTGGTAATGGGGAGAAACACTCCTTATCTAGGTATAATTGGTCAGTTCCTGACTAGGCTCTTATTAGGAAAAGAATTGAGGTAATTTGTATAAACTTACTCCTTCCTGAATTAGGAACACTTCAGGATTAAAGCTTGGGTGTGTGTGTAAATAGATACAAGGAGAATACACATACATATAAAAGGCAAATATGGCAAGGAGGTAACCCTGGATCCTAGCTCTCATCCTTAGTCACAACCCCAGCAAAGTCCAGTCTCTTGGTGGAGAGGGATGTGCCTGGAAGCTCTTATACCTTCACTGGCAAGGTCCTTAAATTAGGATGGGTGGCAGGCAGTTACTTGGAGTCACAAACCCCCTGTACTTATGTGACAGCCTGGAGCTCTGAGATTGTACCAGATCCTTGTCTATTGCCCTCAGCCTAACTTTCTGAGCTCTAGTTCCTATTTCTTCCCTTGCCTTTGGTTCTGTAACGATACCTCCTTATGTATATCTCAGTGCCTGCTCTTTCCCAGCCACACTCCTCTCTGGGTGTCCGTTTGTGCTTCGTGACTGTCAGTACCCATGCCCTGCCTACTCAAGCCAACCAGAATGGGTGTTATGCTCTGCTGCTTTCCTCTAATTTGGTTTGAATCCTCAGAAATCATTCCTGACCCATTTGGTTGGCACCTGGACTCTTAGTACCTGCCTTCTCCTTTATTTTCTTCTAATCGGTTGTCCTCTTATCCATGTCCCATACTCTTTGTCCTGCTTACAGGCCCTGACAACTTGACCCCTCCCCCCCGCATTGTCCCAAACATTCTGCCACCCACCAAATTCAGTCAGGCAGCTGATAGGAGGTACCTAATTATAGCAAAGGTGACAAAAGGATTAGAGTCTTTGAAAGACCATCTTGTACCTGTTGAAGAGTCAGGCAGCACATGTGTGCCTTTGCTGTGTGTGTACGGGTCCCAGTGAAGCCCCTAGTTGGTGTATCAGAAGCTCTGGTAACTAAATAAAGGAGATTCCTGACAGGACCTATTGCAGTAACCATCATGTATGGGAGTTTTCTGTTTAGTTGTCTTTTTCAGCTACCATCATTTGTGTTGATTTGGTAATTGGTGGAGGGACAGAGATAGAGGCATTTTGGGGATTAACTTAGTTTTGAATTTCTTGTTTATATCATGGGGTAAATTTTTTAGCCTAGAATTAAACTGCTTTAAATCTGCTTTTGTGAGCTGCTTAGACTTGTGCCTTCCATCCGTCAGGTCCTCACTCAGATATCACCTTCTCAGTGGGGCCATTCTTGTCCACCTTATAAAAATATACAGCTGCCTCCTCTCAGCATTCTCTGGCCCCATCTCTGCTTTATTTTTCTCCAGCGCACTTTTCAACTTCTAACATACTGTGTACTTTATTCGTTTGTCTGATTTATTTTCTGCCTGCCCCTGCTAAAGTGTCAGCTTCATGAGGGCAAGGAATTTCGTTAGTTTTGTTCACTGGTGTGTGCTCAGAAGGCTTGTTCTAGGAATCCCTGTCACTGCTGTGTCAGAATCCTCCTCCTTCTCGGGAGCTGCTCTTCTCGAAAGATGCATGTGCGAACGTACACACACCTATACACAACTCCCTTTTTTTCAGATATGCAAAAGAAGCCTCTGGCTTCTTGAGTTGAATTCTTAGCTTGGAGCAGGAAGCAGTGTTCTTTCTCCAGAGCCACCTTTGATGATTCTCTATCATCAGTTAGCCGTATTGATAGCTTCAGATTTCCTGTCCGCTGCGGGCGGATGCGTCAAGACCTTTCATGGAAAGTCTGTACAGTGCTCCTGCATCCCAGTGACTGGATAAATGTGCCTGGTCTTCTTGCAGCAGCTGCCTCTGAGAGGGATGTGCACACTCCTTCTGCTTCCATGCGGATTGGCTCTTCAATTCTGTTCATTTTGGCTAAGAGAAGAAAAAGAGCTTTGTGCCTTGTTCTTGATTTTAATGTCATGTTTCATCCAGAGTGCAGGCTTTGATTTTTCTTTGAGTTCTCTGGATGTTTCACTGTCAATGTTTTGTAACATTTTAGGTTTTACTAAACCCAGATGATTAATTGACCTTCAAAAGGCAGCTACTTCTTGATGTTAGTCTGTAACCTTTTATCAAATAAATATTTCCTCCAAGATAGGGTAGAAAATGAGACATTTCTAAATTATCTCCTAAAAATCCCCTTTGAGTTCAGATACTGAAATTATAGTCCCATTCTCCCCTGTCTTTCAATTTTCTCACTTTCTTTTGCATGTTTTCTAATAATCTTAAATTGAAGTGTGTGTGTGTATTTATAAGGAAGTTGTAAAGGCTTTTTAAAGTGATCTTTTCTTGCCTTCCTACCATTGAAGATGGTAGACATGATATGATTCTCCTTTTTTAAAAAAAAATATAAAGTGTGTTAAGAGTAAGTAGTAACATCTTAGGAGACAGGTAGGTTGAAACTCTGATTTTCTACTTTATCTGCATTTGAATTGTTTGAATGCTTTACAGTGAGCATGTTACTCATATATAGTTATTTTTAATAAACATACTTTGAAGACTGGAAAGAATGTCCTCTCTTTTGAAAATAAATCCATCTTCGTGCTAATAAGAGACAGATCAACAAGTTTTATGACAAAATATTACTTTCAAAATACCTATGAAGTGACTAGTTCAAGATTATAATTTGCTTTCAAACATAGCCTGAAATGGAAATGTATTTCAAATAATGAAAGGTGTTATCTTTGTAATAAATAAAAATAAAATATCTCATTATTGTCTTTTCATAGGGTGCAAATCCAGTCCTAAATCTTACTTTAATTAGTCAGTGATTTTCCTCTAGAAATGAATCTGAGTTATTTTTTTCAAGACCTATGTAGGATTGATAAATGGTGTAAAGAAATCTGAACATAATTCTTGGAGTGGGAGTATAGAGTACTGTTTTATTGTGTTCACTTTTATTAATGGAACTGTGAATTTAGACCAAGCAAACAGTAATTACAGAATGAAAAATGGAACAGAATATTTAGTGGCTTCTGCACACTATTTCTGCGAAAGGCTTTGGTGTAGAATCTTCATAAAATGAAATCTTTTTTCAGCATGTCTATTATTTATTTTTAGAATTCACAGCAAGGGTTCTTGGTTGACAGGAAAACTACAAACTTTCATTGACCCAAAATTTAACTCAGCTCTTTTGTATTTTTCTCTTCTTTCTCACTCAGAAGGGAAGGTATTATATAAAGTAGATTTGTCATTTTTTTTTTTTTAAGAAAAAAGTACGTTTACCATGATCAGAAGTTCTTTTGGGTTTAATGGAAAATTGTAGCCCACATCTAAACAAATGGTCCTACAGTTGTAGCATTACATATCTTTGATTTCTTATGAACCAAGACTCTTTTTCTAGCAGCAGATGTCCAAAGATTACCAAATTAAATAGCACATTTGAAAAGAAGTTGTAAGGCGGGCACAGTGACTCATGCCTATAATTCTAGCACTTTGAGAGGCTGAGGCAGGAGGATCGCTTGAGGCTAGGAGCTCAGGGCCAGCCTGAGCAAGAGTGAGACCCCATCTCTACAAAAAAAATAGAAAAATTAGCTGGGCAGCATGGTGGCACACACCTGTAGTCTCAGCTCCTTGGGAGGTTGAGGCAGGAGGATCAAGGTTGCAGTGAGCTATGATGAGGCCACTGCACTTTAGCCCAGGCAACAGAGTAAGACTCTGTTTTTTTTTTTAAAAAAAAAAAAAGAAGTTTGTAACCTTTTAATTGGCTTGATCAGAGGATTTTGATCCCCCTGCACCAAAGTAATCAGTTTTTTTATTGTACATTTTCTAACAGTCTCCCTATTCTGAAATATTCCTACTATAAGGTGGGAATTCTAGAAAGATAATCTTTTCTAGACAGATAGATTTTATATTATAAAAAACTTAGATTATTGTCCCAATGCTAGTCAGTACTTATAGTGTGTATA